AATAAAGTGCCCTGGGTAAAGCTCCGGCCTGTGTACCCCAAACCATGCACCTGGGCACGACTGTCTTATAATCGACTGGCAGTTAGCGAGCAGAGGCCGGGAGGGGGAATGTTGCTGGCTGAGCAGGAGTGGACAAAGAGGTTAAGAAGCACCATGGGATGCGCTGGCCCAGCAGAGAGGGACTTGGGCAATAGGCTGAGGAATGGGTGACATAGTAATCATTTGTTCTCAAGGGCTGCTGGAGGGTCGGGGGGGGGGGGCTGCTTCATAGCTCCGACAAGGGCATCTCTAGCACTGTGCTCGCTGCTCAGGCCTCTCCAGCTGTGGCCTGGGAGTGTGGTTCAGTCTGGACCTGACTTGCCTCTGCAGAATTAATCATCACTGCGGGTGGGGAGAATGTGCCCCCAGTGCCCATTGAGGAGGCCGTGAAGACAGAGCTGCCCATCATCAGTAGTGCCATGCTGATAGGGGACCAGAGGAAGTTCCTGTCCATGCTGCTGACTCTGAAGGTATGTCAAGGGCCCGCACTCTGGGGTTGTATGTAGCAGGAGGGTGGTCTGCAGTGTAGCCCAAGGTGCTCCTGGCATTCAGTTTTATCCTGGCCTCATTCAGCCACTGCTGTGCACCGTGAGGGTGGGTAGAGATTCCTCTGCCCCATGGGCTACTGAGACGATCCTTCCACTCGCCAGTACATTCCAGTTTGCAGAGGTCTGGCTGCCCACGCTCGGGGCCTCAGCATCACCAGCCAAGGTTTAGCCCTCCGCCCACTGTTCTTTCCACCACTCCTCGGGACAAGCACAGGACCTTGCCCACCATAGACACACCACTCTAAAACCGAGTCCACAGGAATTCCCCACCTTGTTCCTGTGACATCCTCCCAAACCAAAGCGTGGTTCTGTGGAGAGGGAGAGACCTTCATCTGTCTTCTTTTCAGTGCACGCTGGACCCAGAGACATCTGAGCCAACGGACAACCTGACGGAGCAAGCTGTGGAGTTCTGCCAGAGGGTGGGCAGCAAGGCCAGCACCGTATCCGAGATTGTGGGGCAGCGAGATGAGGCTGTGTATCAGGCCATCCAGGAAGGGATCCAGAGGGTGAACGCGAATGCGGCAGCCCGGCCCTACCACATCCAGAAGTGGGCCATTCTCAAACGTGACTTCTCCATTTCCGGTGGAGAACTGGGTAAAGTTTTCTTTTCACAGTTCCTGGGGCTGTGCAGGAGGGCAACGCCCATGGCAGTGGCAGTGGGGAGCCTGTTAGGAAGTAGCCGTGCCAGCAGAAGGTGTCAGACAGGGCTTTGGACAGCATCTGAGCTGGGTGCCTCTGATTGTGTTCATTTGAAAATGTCACTTTCAAATCCACAGGATGCAACCACCTTGGATTAGAAATACCAAGAGGAAAAATTGTATCTGCCCTGAACATATGCAGTTGTTTGTTTTTTTTGTTTTTTTTTTTTTTTTTGGTTTTTCGAGACAGGGTTTCTCTGTGGCTTTGGAGCCTGTTCCTGGAACTAGCTCTGTAGACCAGGCTGGTCTGGAACTCACAGAGATCCGCCTGCCTCTGCCTCCTGAGTGCTGGGATTAAAGGCGTGCGCCACCATCGCCCGGCTACATATGCAGTTTAATCCCTTAAATAATAATCCTCACAAAATATTTACAGTGTCTTAGGTATCAAAAGTCATCTAGAGACAACTTAGAAGCATAAAGGAAGACAGGTTGGTCCTGTGCAGATACCTGTCATTTCACACATGGGGCCAGAACACTGGACTCTGGTGTTGGGGTAGGGAACTCCCGAAACCTGTGAGCATGGGATGAGTGTATTACACATGTGGCAGAACTTATCAGTATCAACAGGAAATGCTTAGCTTTGCCTTAACCATGAGACTCTATTCTGTTGAGTGATAGTGTAGCCATTGGGTACACACCGTAGCCCCGCGGGTGCCAGGGCTGCAGTGAGACCACTACAGTCTGTGACATCAGCCACATGGCTGCTAAAAGGATAGAACTATCTGGGTCACAGCCCAAGCCCATAAGAGCCTGTGGTGCAGCCCCACGTGGCCAGAGGAGTCTCTTAGCTATCGGGCATCTTGGGTTGCTCATGGCACAGGACACTGAGCATGGCTCCTTGGTGAGACTCTCAAGGTGAGACACACATTGAAAGTAGTCACACTGTCTGCAGCAATGCTCTGCTGTATCAGAGATGCTGAGAATATAGAACCAGATTTGTTCACACTAAATGCACGGGCAACTGAATGGAAGGTGTCTTCTCTAGGCAGCTCATAAAGGCCCTAACCTTGATGTTTCTAGTTGAGGGTTGAGTTATGCACACACAAAAAAACTTTAAGTTACCCAGTACCTTAAGTTGAAAACTGATTTGAAATAATTAAATATGCAAACAATAAACATTATCTCCTGTCGACAGAGGTTTCTGCCCCATCCGGTCCCACAGCCATGCGGTCCCAAAGAAATACACAGAGGTCTACATTAATTATAAACTGGTTGGCCTATTAGCTCAGGCTTCTTATTAACTCTTATAACTTATATTAGCCCATAATTCTTTTCTATGTTAGCCACATGGCTTGGTACCTTTTATCAGTGAGGCAGTCACATCTTGCTTCCTCTGTGTCTAGATGACAACTGCAGACTGAGCCTTTCCTCTTCCCAGAATTCTCCTGTTTTGGTCACCCCACCTCTACTTCCTGCCTGATCTCCCTGCCTATACTTCCCACTTGGCTACTGGCCAATCAGCATTTTGTTAAAGCAATGCAACTGATAAATCTCTACAGGGTACAAGATCATTGTGCCACAGCCATCTCCATTTTGGTGGGCCAAGAATCAGGAGCGACTGATCCGAGTGGCCAGTCTGGGAGTTTTCCACCATACTAGTGGGCTGAGTGGTGGACACTGGAGCCCAGGATGTACTTGTTGCCCATCAGCGGGCAAGACTTCAGTTCTCGGTCAGCAGACCTCCGCACAGGCTGCGTGCACGTCCGAGCACAACCGCTGGCTTATCCAGGAATGCTCTGAGAGGATGCCTGAGACAGAGGCCATGTGATTGCACCATCATTTGCAGCTGGTGTTCTGCATGCACAGGTCCCACATCTATGGATCTAATCAGATCAAAAACTTTAAAAAAAAAAATTATGTTACTATGTAGACCCCCTCCCTGATTCTTTCCCCCAGTACTGGGATTGACTCTAAGACCTCTAACAGGCCAGGCAAGAGTCTACCACTGAGCTGTCTCCCTGGTTCTTTTCTTTTTCAATTTTGTGACAAAGTCTTACTAAATTGTCCAGGCTGGAGGTCCTGAACTCACTGTAGCTCAGGCAGGCCATGAACTTGTGATCATCCTATCTCAGCCTCCTGAGTAGCTCGGATTACAGGCCACAAAGGCCTGACTAGGCAGACATTTTTTCCCATTATATAAACACTAGTTTATTTACATGCCATTCATACTGCATTTGGTATTCTGAGCAGTCTAGAGATGGCTTGGAGTGTATGCATTTGCATAGGTTTTGTGCAAAAGAAAGGATTTGAGCATTTTCTAGCTTAGGTATCTGAAAAAGGTTTCTGGACTCACACACCCATAGTCTGAGAGATGGGTATGTTCATGCAAGGGAAAATCAGTTGAGGATCATGTTGGGGACACTACTTCATTATGTAATGGGGAAAAACAAAAGTCACTTCTGCTCCGGAAAGTGGCACTCTGCCACCTCCTCTGTATCCTATTGGCTGCAGACCAGCCCTAGTTCACTGTGACACAGGGAGGCTCAGGGGGATAATGCTGAGGGACTCTTGCTTCAGAGGCTGGCTGGACTGCACACCCTACTTCTCTGACTTCCTGTCTCCTGTGAGATCTGTCTTTTCTACTGCTGTGATAAAACACCATGACGAGGTAACATAGAAAAGGGTTAAATGGGCTTACAGTTTCAGAGGGTTAAGAGTCCACAATAGCAGAGTAAAGGCCTGGCAGCAAAAACAGCTGAGAGATAACTTGAAGATAGCACAAATCTTTGAAACCTCGAGTCTACCCCATGACACACCTTCTCCAAGATCTCCTAACCCTTCCCCAACAGTTCACCAACTGGCAACTAAGTACTCAAACATAAGAGCTTTTGGACGCCATTTTTACTCAAACCATATCTTCTCAAGTCATCATAGGCTTCACTTGTTTCCTTCAATTTTTGTTTTAGGCCCCACCATGAAACTGAAACGGCTCACAGTTCTGGAGAAGTACAAAGACATCATCGACTCCTTTTACCAAGAGCAGAAACAGTAGTCAGGGGCCATGCTCCTGCCAACTGCTGGAGGGAGACGGCCTGGTGTCTCCCCGCCGGGATGCAGGAGCCTCTGACAAGCGGGTTTCACCCCTAGTTCAGGGCACAGCACTGATATCTCCAGTACTAAGGTACCACTGCTCCTGCTCAGGTGTCAGAGACCACTCTCCTTCTGAAAGAGCAGACTGTTATTTTAGCCTCAGTCCAGGCAGACTTACAAGGTTCTAGTCCTCGGAACAGGTCTACCAGGGCTGGCTGCTGGAGAGGGAAAAGGTGACAGCCCCATTACTAATGTGTGCTGCAGAGACAGCAGTCGCAGCTTGCCTAATGGCCTCACTTAACTCTGGCATCTTCTTGGACGCTAGTACCAGGCTCTCCTCCACTTTAAACACAATAGGCTTGATGCTTAACAAACTGCTCCTGCCTATGTGGCTGTATTTAATGTGTAATTTTGAGTATTAAACCTTTTAACAGACCTGCAACAAGTACCTTGTGTTTTTTGTCAACTGGGCAGGTGGGACAGAGCGTGAACAGTTAACCCACGGAAGTGAGAGTTAACCATTAGTGTATCATTAGTGGCCTACAATACACAAAGGTGCAAGATGGGGTCAGGTGGAACGTTCCAGTTAAAGCAGCCAACTCTATTACCACCTATTACAACAAGCTAAGCCAAAATGCCTTAAGGCACCTACCTGACCAGGAAAGAGGCAGAGAATGCAAACATCTCAGCAGTTTTTAAATTCTTTATTACTGTGAACCCAAAGCCACTGGTAACTAGAACAATCCAGTAAGACAGAGAAAGCAGCAGTTGAAAGTAAAATACAGATTTTAAATCTGAATAAGAGCTTTAAAAATGACCCAGATGGGGAGATCTGTTGTTAAGAAATCCCCTTGTGACCTGGGTACATTATACAAAGCCATGGGTTTGCAAACTGGTACAAGGGCTGAGGGAAGACAGCTTAACTTTGGTGTGGGCCAAAGAGTAGCTTCATGCTGTGGTGCAGAGCTGAGGGAGGGTAGGGATAGGAAGCTGAGGGTCAGAAGCTAGTAACACGAGCCCCAGTCTGGGCTGAGTCAGCTCTGCCTCTGCAGTGGGGTCTTTTGTGGGTGCTACTGGGGCAGATGGCAGTGACTGGGTGTTCTAGGGGAAGTGAAGGGGCAGCTATGAAATATAAATCATAGCCAGCATCCCACGGTCCTCGACTACAGCTGAGAGAGGTAGCCAAGCCTTTCCAGTGTCACCTGCAGCACCAGCGGAGTGTGGCTTCCTCCCAGGGCCACACAGGAGTCATTTGCAGTAGCTGGCTCCCCAACTGAGGGGCGAGTTCAGGGGTTCAAATGCTTTCTTACAATGTGTCTTCTAAAGAGGAATGATCTCCCTTAATTAAGAGTTCTCCCAAAAAAATAGTGAATCTCAAGATAACAAAATAATCTAATACACAGGGCATCTGGGGCTTTGGCTCAAGGATTACCTATACGTTATTAACAAAATTACATCGTCCATTATATATTTCTTGGAGCTTACATTTTTATTAATAATTCATGTACAGGACAAATATTTTTATTTTCCATATTGCTAAGAAATATACCATTTTTGCTGTGAACTTTCCTAAGAAATTCCTTTTGAGCCCATTTAGTTCTAGAATAATGTTATCTTGTGCGATTGTTAAAACCCTGTTTAATTCTCAGTATGTTTTCATAAACCAAAAAACAGGGCTTTTGTTAAAAAGTTAAATATTTTCTCTTATTAATTCTGTATCATAATATTTACAGTTGAGGAAAAACTACTTTGCCTGAAGTGTAAAATGGGTAACAATGGTAAATGATACAGTTCACTTACAGTTTACAAAAAAAGGTTTACCAGATAGACAATAAATACAACAAGCACTTGGGAAAACCCAATGCAGGCCGGAGCCTTCATGTGCATCTGTTGCAAGGGTTTTGTTAAGAAAAGGCCGGATTTGAAAATGTACTCTGTCAAGAAGCAAGCAAACCAATGGCGGGCGTTCTCGAGGAGGATTCCAGGGTATCCTTCTGAAGTGACTGACAGCAGCAAATCCACCTGCAGAGGTGCTAATCTAAGTCCTTTACTCGGCGGCAGATTTCTTCTGTGAAGTCAGAGCACTTAGCGTTGCCTCCCAGGTCTTTTGTTAAGCTCTGAGGAAAGGAAAAAGCAAAATTAAACATCCATCACCACTACACTAAATTAAGCAAAGATAATTTCACTTAAAGCACTCAGTGAAATAGGAACTGAGCAAGGTACCTGCCTAATGATGTCCAAGAGAGGTCCCATTACACACTATCTACCTACCATAGGAGGCCTGGGGAAAACCCGTGAGGTGTGAACCCCAAAACACTGCCAAGTCAGGCATGATGGTGCACTGCTATAATCCCAGCACTGAGAGGCTGAGGCAGGAAGACTCTTGCAAGTTCAAAGCCAGCCAGGTCTATACATCGAGTTCCAGGCCATCCAGGACTATACAGCAGGACCCTGTCTCAAAACAACTCAGCACTGTATTTGAGAAGGTGCAGCAAAGAGACTACAGAAACGGCCGCTCCATTACGGGAATGTTTTCATTGTGAGTAACAAAGAGGAAAGGATCCAGAAGCATCTGGAAGATTCGAGCAGAGAAAAAAAAGACATACTGGACATGTCCAGGGCTATCTTTGAGAGACATGGGAGAGCAGGAGAGAATAGCAGAAACAGCAAGAGAAAGAATAGCAGCAGCGCGAGAGGGAACGCGATAGGGAGGTGAGAGGGCCCAGACGCTACTGTGAGGGCTTTGTAATGTACAGCATGGACTGATATGTAACCACAGAGCATGTCACAATGGAGAGCCGTATGTCCTTTCTGCCAGAGGCAAGAGAAATGACTCTTTCTGGAGAGAGAAGAAGTTTCACTAGTTCCCAAGAAATACTGGATTTTCATCTAACCACCAGAAGTTCTACTGTAGTCCAGCCTGAGTTCATTTCTGCATATACAGACTGCCTGAGAGCTAACAGACACCTCTCAAGGATAAGGCCTTTCTGAGGAGCAGGGAGTATTCCAGAATTTACCCTTTGCTCAAACTATTACTGGAGAAAATACTGGTTGGTTATGACAGTCAAATGAAAGCAAATCTAAGTAAAACATCTGAGGGGAAATTTTAAAGCTCAAAAAAATTTGTAAGACACGTTCTGATCTATTTTGGTATTTGGAGGCAAATAGCATGAAAACATTTACACAGCTAACTCCTAACTTTAGGAGAAGTCTCTACTGTAGCCAATCTGTTTTCTACCAACTCATTTCCTCTTCGCTGCAAACATGTTGAGTTCCCTCCTGTAGACTAGCTACATGCTGCAAAACACCCTGTGTAATCAGGCATCTTTCTGCTCGGCTCTAACACAGGCTTGGTATAAATAACAAGGTCTCATATCCACTAAATGATGTCAGGCTATTAAAAATATGTTTGCACTCCTTATGTGTTGGCCATAAGAAGTAATTCCTAGCTCTAACTTTCAGAAGGGTCCAGCTATGAGGCACTATGTTAAGATCATACTAACACCAGATTGCATACTAACACACCAGGCCAGCAGGATGCGCTTGTGCCTTTATCTGGCTCTCATGTTTTCCACTGCAGACTGCTGCCCATCAGTGCCTCTTTACTCTTTCAGAGGAAATATTCAGATCCTCCCACCGAAAAAGGCATACATGAACACATTCCTAACTTAAGCTCAATCTGGGAGTCCACATTAAGAATCCCTGTTTAACATCAAATCTTTCAGGGCTCTATTTCCTTTCTATGGAAGAAACACCATTTACCCAGTTTACAGTGGTCTAGATTACAGATACCTTTCCATCCTTAATAGTAGCAAAACACGCAGCCTCGATTTTGGCTGCGTGGTCAAAGAGTCCCATGTGGCGCAGCATCATCACGGCACTCAGCAGAAGGGCGGTGGGGTTGGCCATGTCCTTGCCTGCAATGTCCGGGGCTGTTCCATGAACCTATGGCAGTGTAAGAAAACAGCATCAGCAGGAGGGAGACGGGAGCAGGCAGCCCTTCTTGGTCTTAGCATGCGCCCAGCATGCACCAAGTTCTGAGCTCAATCCCCAGCACCAACAAAAATGAAATGACAGCACAGACTCTTGAAGAAGTGAAAAATGGTGTGGACAATCCACGGACACATGTGAAAAACGGTGTGGACAATCCACGGACACATGTGAAAAACGGTGTGGACAATCCACGGACACATGTGAAAAACGGTGTGGACAATCCACGGACACATGTGAAAAACGGTGTGGACAATTCACGGACACATGTGAAAAACGGTGTGGACAATTCACGGACACATGTGAAAAACAGTGTGGACAATTCACGGACACATGTGAAAAACAGTGTGGACAATTCACAGACACATGTGAAAAACGGTGTGGACAATCCACGGACACATGTGAAAAACGGTGTGGACAATCCACGGACACATGTGAAAAACGGTGTGGGCAATTCACGGACACATGTGAAAAACAGTGTGGACAATTCACAGACACATATGAAAAACAGTGTGGACAATTCACGGACACATGTGAAAAACAGTGTGGACAATTCACTGCCACATCTTAGAAGTAAAATAAAGCTGTGAAGAAACAAAGAGCTAATTTTTGAGGGCAAAAATATGGGTGCCAACCAAGGAGACGGTTGGGCGAGGAAACACTTGCTGCACAATTTCACATCTCCAAAGCCCACAGAGAAGCAGGATGTGGAGCAGCAGGGTGAGACTATGGTGCAGACGGTGGAATCCCAGGGAGCACGTGGGCTAGCTAGCCTGTTTGCAGCAGAAAAACAGATCCTGCCTCAAACAAGGTGGGAAGAACCAACACTCTGACCTCCACACACACAAGCATGGCAGCACACACATGCCTACAGAGTCTGTTTCTCTCTCTGCCATACACATACGATATACACATACACATAAAAAATTGTGGGTCAATAATATTTTCCAGTAGATTCTGGTAACATCTGAAAGTGAAGGAGGCACATAAAAAGTGTCAGGCCAGACATGAGGTAGCCTCCTGTCTCCAGTGTGAGGTTAGTCTGAGTAACAAAACTCCTCAAAATATATAAATAAGCAGAAATATATGGAGAAAAAGAAACAAACCAGTGTTATATAAAAAATAAAAGCTGTGGGATTGGAGAGATGGCTCAGTGGTTAAGAACACTGGCTGTTCATACAGAAGACCAGAGTTCAATTCCCAGCATCTACATGGCAGCTCACAACTGTCTGTAGCTCCAGTTCCATGAGATCAGACGCCCTCACACAGACACAACAACAATACACAGGAAAAGAAAAAAGAAAAAACAACAAATAATCATTTATAGATAGATGGACAGATAGATAAATTAAAAACTGGGCATGGTAACACATGACTTTAATGGCAGCACTCAGGGAAACAGGTAGGTGGCGCTCTGAATTTGAAATCAGCTTTGTCTACACAGCAAATGAAATGCCAGGCATATTTTGAGACCTTGTCACAAAACTTAAGACAAATACAATAAAAAAAAAAACAAAGTCTAATTTCTAAGACAATGTGCAAAACTGCAGTTAAGAGCCTGTGTATAGACTACAGTGAACCCAACAATGGGCCAAACGCTACTCTCAGCTGCACAGGTGCATGTATGGGCAGAGTGCTCCATGAAGCCAAGGGCTTCCCAGAGCAGGATATAAGCTGACTAAGGAGAGATAGGACGTGCAGAACAGTGAACAAGGGGCAGGATCAGGTGGATGAAGGTTCGAGTTAGCCATGAACTCTAGCAATAAGGACTCTAGAGAGACGAGTTAAGACTGACAGGAAACAGTGGCCTGAGATGAGAGTCTTGAAAAACTGAAAGCTTGACCGGGCAGTGGTGGTACACGCCTTTAATCCCAGCACTCACAAGGCAGAGGCAGGTGAATCCCTTTGAGTTCGAGGCCAGCCTGGTCTACAAGAGCTAGTTCCAGGACAGCTAGGACTTTCATGAGTTTGATGCCAGCCTGGGCTATACAATGAGACATGAATTCTGTGTAGGTGTTAGGGTCCTTACCGATTCAAAGATGGCAACACCATTGGCTCCAATGTTGCCACTTGGAGTCACACCAAGACCTCCAATCAGACCTGCACACAGATCACTGGGGACATAAGAGGACATTGTGAAAAAGAAAGCAATTCACCTAGCACCCAGATTTTAGTGTTCAGATATGATAATCCACTAGAGAAAAGCAGAGGTCCTTGGAGAAGTGGCTCATTCCAGGCATCAAGGTCAGAAATGCACATAAGCCTGGAGCAGCTTCCTGTGCCACAGTAAGGCAAGGCTCAAAGGGCAGGCCCAGCCCAGGACATAGGATCCATGCACAGTCAAGACGACCTGCACGAGTGAGGAACTCACCAGCGACTAAAAGAGAAAACCAGGAGTACACATGCTGATGGAGGCAATTAGTGACACAGCTCAGACCCCGCCTCAAAATTAAAACAATAAAATTTGAAATACAGTATAATTTCCCGATAATATGCAAAGCTCCAGAGGTGAAGGCATATATGCAGACTCAGAGAAGACAAGCTGTAGCCTCTCAACAGAACACCTCATAAGAAGTGTAGAAGAATGGGCTTCAAAAGTCAACATCTCCCAACATCCCAAGGGGAGGAGGGAAGAATCCAAAGAAGAAAGGTATGCTAGAGAAAGAGCTTGAAAGATTTAAGTACTCAGTACAGGGGGCTTCCTTCTACCATTACAGTAAGATTTTCGTCAGTCTGAGATTATGTCAACAGTGACTGGGGCTGAAGGAGAAGCTCCATGACAGCTTAGCACAAGGGAGCGGAAAGAAGAAAGGGGACTTTGTGATAATGACCACCAATCTAGCTAGCTGTGCAAGTAACAAAATACACTGAAATGTATTAAATAGCTTTTAATACATAACTGAGAACAGAAAGCCATGGTTCACTTTAGGATGTTTATATAAAAACTATAGGTCAAAAATAAAAAGGGCAGTCAGACTTACCTAAGGATGTCTCCATATAAGTTTGGCATGACAAGAACATCAAATTGGGATGGGTCTTGCACCATCTACAAAGAATAAGTTGTACATTTAGCAATTATAATCTGCATACCGTGAATACACAGTATGCACCATAAAAAGCAACCAGTAAGCATCAATGCATACGTAGATTTAAACATACAGTATAAAGGTACTTACATTTAAACATACGGTATCAAGATACATCTCATTGAATTTAATATCTTTACAGTTCTCTGCAACTTCCCTGCATTTCTGCAGAAAAAGCCCATCTGACATCCGCCTGTATTTAATAAAATACATAATAAATTGTTTAAAATGAAGACTTGCAGCAAGCAAAGAATCGAATCAAATCAAAGAAAAGTTCAAGAAAGTTAAGTTCCAAGAGGCCGGAAGATGGCTCAGTCACGGAAATGCACCCACAGAAAAACTGTCATACCAGTTAGGGATGCAGACAACAAGAGTCAAGCAGTGAGCTCCAGGTCAGTGACAGACTCTGCCCCTAAGGATGACACCGTGGTTGTTCATCATACACACACACTCAGGAAAGAAAGCCCAGTGTGGTAGCACATGCCTTCAATAGCAGCACTAGGAGGCAGAGGTGGTGGATATCTGTGAGTTCCAAGCCAGACAGGGATACATAGTGAGACTCTGACTCAAAAACAAAACAAAATAAACAAACAAATAAGTTCCAGAATTCAAATTATCTGATTTCAATTACAGTATAATTATTTCTTGGGCAGTTAATAAGTTGGGAGTTGGAAAGTTTTCAGATCCATATGGGTGCACAAAAGTGTAAAAACAAGAATAATCAAATTTTTTTTTATTTGGCAGGGCCCTTATTTTTGTTTTTTTGTTTGTTTGTTTGTTTTGTTTTTCAAGACAGGGTTTCTCTGTGGCTTTGGAGCCTGTCCTGGAACTAGCTCTTGTAGACCAGGCTGGCCTCGAACTCACAGAGATCCTCCTGCTTCTGCCTCCCGAGTGCTGGGATTAAAGGCTTGTGCCACCACCTGCAGTTTTTTTTCAAAGACAGGGTCCCATGCAGCTAAGGATGGCCTTGAACTTGGTATGTAGCTAAGGCTGGCCTCAAATACCCACAGCTGGGAGTATAGGTACATATGGAACATGCCCTGGCTCATATGAAAAATGCTTTAGGAGGGTAACTGTTAGTTAAACGGTTTCCTGCTGTGCAGGTTCAGTCCTTTCTAAGGAAGTCAAGTCCTTGTCCAGTCAGAGGAGCCTTTAACAGACAGGGCTTGAGGCCTCACCTGCCAGAGAAATCCTCTGACTGGATCTGCCCTATTTTAAGCCCTGAGCACATGGCACTTCAGAAACACCCCTGCTCCCCCACTTGGGAAATATGAACTGCATGGCCTCTGCTAACCTAACGTCTTCTCCAGCTTCCTTCTGATACCTCAGCTACATTTAACTTCCAGGACATGAATTCCTGGCCCGCTTCATTTGTTCCTCTCATTTCCCCAGGACAGACCAAGGGAGAAAACGCCACTCTGATTGGTACAATGTTCTTTTCGAAACTCTGGGGTGCAGAGAGAGAACAAGCTGGAGATTAAGTCCTGGAAGCTCCACCCCCACAGCAAAGCAAGTTCAGCCCCTCCACGACTCACATGATGTTGGCTTTGTGCACTGCTGTGACGTTGCTCCGGTGATTGTTCCGAGCATACTCGAAGGCAAACTCTGCAATGCGCTTGCTCGCCTCTTCTGTGATGAGCTTGATGCTCTGCACGACACCATCAACAATCTGAAAGAGAGGAAGCCATGCTTCACTGGACGTGCTGTGGCATCACTTCGGTACCGCCAGTTTCAAAGTACAGACCACAGCCGGGAGATGGTGGCGCACACCTTTAATCCCAGCACTCGGGAGGCAGAGGCAGGTGGATCTCTGTGAGTTTGAGACCAGCCTAGTCTACAGAGCTAGTTACAGGACAGGCTCCAAAGCCACAGAGAAACCCTGTCTTGAAAAACCGAAAAAAAAAAAAAAAAAAAAAAAAGAAAACCTTCTCCCCCCAAAAACAAACTAAAACAAACAAACAAAAACAAAACTCTGAGATGAAGAAATGAACGTACCACATGCTCAATTCCACTGTACTCTCCTTCTGTGTTCTCTCGGATGGTGACAATGTTTACATCTGTATAAGGGGTTTTATAACCTTCAATGGAGACACACGGCCGGACATTGGCATAAAGGTCAAATGTCTTACGGAGCAATAGATTCATAGATGGATGGCCAGCTGCTATTGGGGTCTTTAGTGGGCCTGTAAGGAAGAATAGTCACATGACAATAGGATATACTTGGTCTCACAGGGAACCCACTAACTCACCTGGCTTCTGTAAAATGTGTTCTGGCTTCAACTTCGCCCCTCCCTTAGACCATCTCAGGTCAAGAAAACAGTTCCATGGGAGAGCAAATAAAGAAAGAAAAAGATTCAAGAGGAGGAACAAATCCTCTAGGGAGGTTTCTGGGATATGGCCTGCATTTCCTGTCCTGAGAACGTCTGAGGACCAACACTGCATCAGAAGCCTAGTATCTGCTGAACCTCAGTGCTCAAAAGGGAGGGATGCTTACAATTAAAAGAAAAAAAAAAAAAAAAAACAACCCCAGAGAAATAACTTGGCCTAAGCTTACCAGCCAGTGGCCCACAAAAGATGGACCTGAACATGGTTTAAAGCCTGTGCCAAATTTCAAACTATCATGTGCTAATTATTCTGAATCATGGCCTTAAGCATGTATAAAGATAATAAAAACATTAAAAGTCTGACTAGAGGTAAATGGAGTTAAAAATAACAGATACAGTAAAGTTGGTATTGGCCAGCAATACTTTAATGTTGTTACTAGAGTCTTAAATGTCCCAGGGCTGAAGAGATGGCTCAGAGATTAAGAACACCAGTGGCTCTTCCAGAGGTTCTGAGTTCAATTCCCAGCAACCCACATGGTGGCTCTCAACAGTCTATAATGAGATCTGGTGCCCTCTTCTGGCTAATAGGCATATATGGAGGAGACAGAACACTGTATACATAATAAATAAATAGATCTTAAAAGAGAGAGAGAGGGAGAATGAACTTTTGCCAGGTGGTGATGGTGTACACCTTTAATCCCAGCACTAGGGAGGCAGAGGCAGATAGATCTCTGTGAGTTCAAGGCCAGCCTAGTTTATAGACAGAGTTCCAAGGACAGGCTCCAAAGCTACACAAAGAAACCCTGTCTGAAAAAAATCAATCAAACAAACAACAACAACAAATGTCCCAAATAAGAAATAATCATCTCAGGCCAAGAATATACTTCCATGGTAGAACAAATAAAGAAAGAAACATCTAGAGATGCATGACTGTGATTCCAGCACTCAGAAGGCTAAAACAGGAAGAATCTCAAGTTTAAAGCTAACCTTGTACATAAAACAAGTGCTAGGTCAGCTGGGCTATACCATGAGACCCAGCCTCACAAACATAAAACATTCAATAAATAAACCTTAGATACTTAGGTACCTTAGATACTTCATAAAAGGAGCGCTTTACTTTTGATAGACTGTCAGGTTGTACTTGGCGGACATGCATGTACTCTCAAAACAGAATGCCTGGGAACAACCAAAGCCTCCTCTCCACTGTACCTTTCAAGCCCATCTTGTTCTTATCCATGGACTCTTTGGCTTCTGGAGGGATCATCCACTTTCCTCCTGGTCCTTGAATGGCAGTGACATTCCGCTCCTCCCATTGAATAGGGGCCTACAAGTCACACAATAGCACAGTGTACTGAACACACTTGAATAACTCCGGCATTCAGACTACAATGATGGTGCATCAAGACTGGATGCAACTAGTAAACACATGGACCATAAGGTCCTAAAAGTCCCTTAGTGTGATATTCACTAGTGTGCCGCAGGGATTCTCTGCTTTACTCTGGCCCAGCCATCACATCCAGCTGCCACCTGCTCACTTATTTTCTTCACAAGGACTCTTAAGGTAACTATAATTAGATTAACATAAGAAGGGGGTATAAGGTTCACAGAAATGATTCATAGCACTAATAGATGGATGGATGAGCCTTGAAACCACAATGCTAAGAGCTAAAAGTCCACCAGAAAAGACCATGTATGAGTCTATTGATATGAATAGGTTATCAGATCTATAGAGAGAAAGCAAATGATTACCTGGAGCTGGGGCAGACCTAGAATGACTGCTACACATTATGGGTTACCTTTTTTGGTGATAAAATTGTTCTAAATTAGATGGTTTTTGTGTGTGGCTGCACAACTCTGAATATACTAAAAATCATTGGAGTGGATGGTACAGTTATTTGTAGATGCTTTTTTACTGTTGCAGTAAATATAGAAAGGTCAGATATCAGCTCTGGTGTTGGTTCTCACCTTCCACCGTATTAGAGACAGGGTCTGTTGCTGCTCACTGCTGCATATGCCAGGCTAGCCGGTCCTCTCACCTCACAACAGAAGGGCTGGGACTGCAGACACATGCTGCAGCATCCAGCTGAACTCAGGCCCTCACGCTTGCACAGCACTTTACCCACAGCCAACTTCCCGGCCCTGCACTGTACCATTTTAATGAGTGATGTGAATAGTATGTGAATTATATCTTAATAAAACTGTCCAAAGAACAAGAAACTACCTATGAAAGTCCTGGTTTAAAGCACAAACTCATGTTCCCTTCTCCCTCTACCTGTCACATGAGAGCTGACATCTGCCAGTCAGCACACTGTCTGCACACAGCCAGACAGAGAAGCATAGAAAAAGATGTGGACCTTGTTCAGAAGGAGCTTACAAGCATTATCTCATCTGCAGGAATTTCCATTAGAAACTCACATTTGAAAAAAGAGAGTTAATATAATTTCAATAAATTTCATTCTTCAACTCATGGCTTTTTTTTTTTACACTACACAGTTCTAACAACAATAAAAAGCCAAGTTACAGTCTTAAGTCCCCCAAACAAAAATTTCTTAAGATATCTACCCAAACTGAAAGTTGGGCTGTAGGAATAATATTCCATGCTTGACGGCAACACCAGAACAGAAAAAAGGCATAATTCAGTGGTAAGTGTTATAATTTATTTAAAAATGCAGTGAAGAGAAGTCATACCATGTAACATGGCTCACATAGGAGGTTTAATAGAAGAGAGAGAGAGAAGGGGCAGAGAAGGGGACAGAGAAGGAGACGGGGGTGGGGGGGAGCCGAGACTGGTTCCTGGGGACAAGGGTGGCAGAAGAGAAGGAGAGAGAGGGAGAGAGAGGGAGGGAGGGAGAGAGGGAGGGAGGGAGGGAGGGAGAAATGGGTAATGGGCAAGGCCCACCTTTTAAAAGGGAACTTAATGGATGTGCACAAGAGGTGCTCTTAGCGGCTGCAGCTGAGGTTGTTTCCTGTAAGGATCCCAAGGGCAGGCCAGTGCAGATGCCTGAATACTAACAAACATTCCTCCCTCTTAACTTAAAAAGGTGAGGAGTTAGAAAGGGGTAGCAGGTGAGACGGGGATGAGGACACCGTGTTCTCGAGACTGCTTCCTGTTGACCTAAGGGGTATAGACCATATTTGGGGGACCTGAGAAATCTGGGGTTCGTCACATCCTAGGGTAGATAGCTATTTCATTTCACTGTCCGTGCCCTGTGGAGCCGTTTGGTGCCTCTTGGACCTGGTAAAATACTTTTCGAGGTGGATCCAAGTGGACTCCCTGGAGCTCACAAGAACTGAAAGCAGCTGTTCCTTTCCCATCACCACAGCATCACCCTGACACCCTCTTTCTATCTCATTTATCATAAGACACAGTGGTTGACGACTGAGGACAGTCAAGAGTAAAAAGTGAAACAGAACAAATTTGTGCCCAACTAGTAAGGCTGTCTCCTGAGAAGGCACATAAAAATTATGGGGAAAGATCACCAGGGCCCAATGGGAACAGGAATTGAGGAAATAAAAAGAAAGGGAAAGCCAGTGTGTGCCGAGCAAGAGGAAGCTGGCTTCTCCATCTGACCTGCACGATGCAGCAAATGGACGGGACATTTGGAAAGGGAGACCAGACAGACACTAGCAGGTCTTAGAACAAAGAAAAAGAAAGTGAAGAATTCTTTCTCGATTTCCCTACTGCCTGGTTCGAGAAATACTGAGGCCAGATGATCTGAAAGGAGTGGTCAGTAGGTCTCCAAAGGATACCTCAATGGGAATGAGGAAGTATGACACAGTTCCCTTGAGTGACATAGAGAAGTCAGACCCAAGGGTCTGCAATTCCTAGCATCCCAGGAATTCAGAGAGGATCAGATTAAGTAGGCTCAGGCTGTCCCAAGTGTTGTCACACAAGAAAAGGGGCCAAGGGCTCTGAGCCCAAGAGAGACACAGTCACCTGGTACCAGGACTTTGAGAAAAGCCAGAAGGCGAGGTGAGGACTGTGCTTGACAAATGAAACCTCACATCCAGGGGAATAATGGTCAGAGGCAGGTAGCCCCACCAGAGACCCAACTGCCAATACTGAATGGAAGGCAAAGCTGCCAGTGAACGAGATTTGTTGTAGGTGAAAGAGAGCAAATTAGAAAGCAAATTTGTTGCAGGTGGAAAAGACAAGAACAGAAAGCAATATCTAAGGGGTATTTGGACGAGATCTGACTACAAATGCAGATGAGTTTAGAAGCCCTTAATTTGGGCACTAAGTGCAAAAGTTGAAGGTATAGGCGATGCCAAAGTTCCCATGAATGGGGCAGATAAGTGAGACCCAAGGTCTGTAATTCCTATCTTCCTAGGAATTCAGAGGGGGTTGATTTTGAGAAGTCACAGGCTGCTCAGTAATTCATCAAACACAGAGCAGGGGCCAAGGGCTCCAAGCCCGAGAGAGCCGTGGTTGCCTGGTACCAGGGTTTAACAAGGCTAAGAAGATGAGAAATCACACTTGAGAGATGAGTCCTAATTTGTGGGAAATGGCCAGAGGTGGAGAAAAGGGGGCCCACCAATCATGCCAATGTCGGATGGAGGAGCCCAGTGATCCATTCGTTGGAGAAATAAGGCTGTCCTATGAGGAGTGGGTTCCAGACTCCCAGCATGCCTCAGACTGCCGGTGGACAGGAGGAAGCACAGGAAAGTCTTTCCCGGTCAGGGAACCAATGTTGTAATTTATTTAAAAACCCCATGAAGAGAAGTCACACCATGCAACATGGCTCACATAGGAGGTTTATTGGAAAAGGAGAGAGAAGACAGAAAGGAGGATAGAGAAGGGGACAGAGAGGGGGGCAGTGACTGGTCCCTGGGATAAGAGTAACAGAAGAGAAAGAGAGAGAGAAAGAGACAAGAAGTGGACAAGACCCCTTTTAAAAGGGAATGTAGCAAACGTGAACAGGAGGTGCTCTTAGTGGCTGCAGCTAAGGACACATCCTGTAAGGACCCCAAGAGCGGGCCAGTACAAATGCCTGAATACTAACAACAAGGATTCCTGCTTAGCATGTGCAAAGCCAAGTTTAATCTCCAACACACCAAAACTATAATACATGAAAAAGCTTCTTTCGAAAATCGCCTATATAACTTCTAAAGAATTTTCTGTTAGATACAGTAAGGCAGGCAGGTGAGTGGGCAAGATTTAAACACCTTAGTCCCAAGCAGGGTTTAAAGAGTCACGAGTACTGCAGTGCTATCTGATTACAACTATCCATGACAGTGACAGCACCAAGACAGGCATGATTAAAGGGACAATCATCCAGCTCTCAGGAGGCTGAGGCTTGAACACTACAAATTCAAGGCCAGCCTAAGCTGCACAGTGAGCTCTAAACCAGTCCAGGCTTGAGAGTGGGACTGTCTCAAAAGTAAACAGGAGCTGGAGAAACAGTTCAGTGGCTTAGATCATCTGTTGCTCTTGCAGAGGACCCAGGGCTTAACTTCCCATATTCACATGATGGCTCACCACCATCCATCCACAACTTCAGTTCTAAGGATCCAACAATTTCTTCTGGCTCCACAGGAACCAGGCAAGCATGTGATATACATACATACTTGCAGGCTAAACACTCTTATGTACAAAACAAATCTTTAAAAATGGTAAATAAAAGCCGGGCGGTGGTGGCGCACGCCTTTAATCCCAGCACTCGGGGGGCAGAGGCAGGCGGATCTCTGTGAGTTCGAGGCCAGTCTGGTCTACAAAGGGAGTTCCAGGACAGGCTCCAAAGCTACAGAGAAACCCTGTCTCGAAAAACCAAAAAAAAAAAAAAAAAAAAAAAAAAAAAGGTAAATAAATAAGACCACCTTTTTGGAGATGGTCTCACTAGGTAGCCCTGGCTGGTCTGGAACTTGCTACATAGCCAAAGCTGGCCTTAAATGCAGAAATTTGCCTGTCTCTGCCTCCTAAATGTTGGGATTAAGGCCTGGACAACCACATTCAGCTTTAAAATAATTTTATTCATTTATTTACTTGGATGCACTTATGTATGTTCATGTGGGGAGTGTGTGCATGCCACAGTATGGGTGGAGGTCAGAGGACAACTATCTAGAGTAGGTTTTCTCTTCCCCATGCAGGTGCTGGCGACTGGGCTCAGGTCACTAGGCTGGGCTGTGAGCACCTGCGACTGGGCTCAGGTCACCAGGCTGGGCTGTGAGTGCCTTTACTCACTGAGTCATCTCATAGTCCTAATTTTTTTTTAAGTAGAAAATTTGTGGAGACTATTTAACAACAGACCCCACAAACTATATAGAAACTTAAAACAATTCATCTTGGCTAAGAGAGCCTCTGTGGAGTACCTTTAAGCGAATTTTAAAAGCACTTACTTTGGCAGCATCAAAAATCTTCATAACTGAGGCTGAGATTTCTGGGCCAATTCCATCTCCTGGAATTAAAGTTACTGTCTGAACCTGAACAGGAAAAATCATTGGGAAAATAGTAAGGATTGGTTTTTAAATTTTTTAAAAAAGAGTATCACTCACAGAAAAACTCACTTTCCCAGGTATGTTGGAAAGACCCAAATGCTTTAAAGAAACAGACAAAACCTCCCACTGCGATCATGACAGTGGAGGAGAAACCAACTCTATGATACTCCATGTCTCTGCTCTCAAATGAGTTTGGAAGTTTAAATAGTAATGCAAATTATGCTCTGCAATAAAACAAAAATAAACTACCAAGCATACTTCCTGACTTGTACTTCTTTTCAGACAAGCTCCAATGACTGACTAGTTCAGGTCTGTAAATCCCAAGAGAGCAACCATCTCAGCATGGCTAACTAGCTACTCCTCATGAAAGTCCAGTTTCAGTCTGTGGAATGCTGGGAAGTTCTCAGGAAACAGTCAGGCTCATAAAACTACAACATGTTTCCAGAACTCCAGAGGTCTGTTTAAACCCCCCGAGAAAATCAGACTTCATCTCTAGAAGCTTCTACTTTCCTTGTTTCTCTATAACACTGGCTACCTTGTATGGTCTCAGCATGGGATGTCATAGGAACCCATACCGTCATCAGACCCTAAGGCCCATGAGTGTGTGTGGTGTGACATCAGTTACGTCAACTCCAAAGGCTCTGGACAACAGCAAGCGAGCATCTAACCATGAGTGGAATGTGTCAGAAGGAAAAATGGGAGGATCTGAGACTTGTTCAGACCCCTCTTCATTGGCAACTACAGGTCTAGTTTTTCAACTACACAGTTTTTTTAAAAAAAATCACTAATTAAGGAAGAAGAATGAGACAAATATGATAAAATACACATGTATGACATTCTCAAAGAATTAACGAAAACATTATATATATCATAAATTATATATATCATAAATATATATATATTTATATATATCATAAATTTATTGTTTAAAATCACTATTTCAGCTTTCCCTTACAATGACACCTGGACAGGTTGACTAATTATTTCTCAAGTTTTACATAGAGCTGAATCAATCATTTTTAAAATTAATATATCCTCTTGATCTGTTAAAAATAACCTCATCGACCAACCAGGCTAATATACCCTAGAGATTAAATAACAGTAGAGAACCATGATTGTCTCACCCATTTCCAAGTGTGCTGGGTCTTTCCTTCTGTCCACTTTGGTGTTGAGGATGTGCATGCAGGCAAGTGCTCTACCACAGAACTTTACCCCTTTTTCCTTTGTATTTTGAGACAGGTTTAAGTTTCCCAAGCTGGCTTTCAACTCTCTCTGGAACACAGGCCCTGCATTTTTTTCTGACCCTCCTGAGCAGCTAGGATCAAAAACCTATACCATCAAGTCCAGCTTCAGAATGGTTTTGAAATACTGACTTGGTTATTCTTGAGCTTGAAATGAAAGTCTTATTCTATATTTTTAAAAACTTTTATCAGTTTTTTGAGAATTCCATACAACGTGTTTTGCTCATATTCACCTCCCTTCCCCATCTCTCCCTGCCTTCCCCACCCATCCAACTTTGTGTCCTTTTTTTTCTTTTGACCCATCAAGACCAATTTGCAATGCTCAAATATTCTAGGATTTGTGGACTTCAAACGGAGTGTGGTCATCTGACCAAGGCCTATAATCTAATCAGAGAAAACTGACTCTCTCTCCCAACAGAATAACCACCAATCACTCCACAGCTAGAGGTAGGATTGTGTGCCCCACACCCCTCCCATGCTGGAATTTGGTCTGCTTTGGGCTTGCACTGGTCTTGTGCATGCATTCAGCTGCTGTGAGCTCATTTCTGCATTTTTGGCATAAGCAGGGCCAGAGGCTCCTTCTTCCTGTTCTCCCACATGTAATGCCATCTAAGAAGCTACTTTTCTTCTCCAGTACATCCAGCAAATAGAGGAAGAAATGTACTATGGTCTCATCACATTAATGGCATGAAATGTGATGTGGGAGTATAAGAATGAAGGAATTACAAAATCAAATCAGGTTCTATAAAAAGGGAAAAAATAATAAATAGGAAGTCACTGACACACAGTCTTGGAATGCTCCAAAAATGTGCCATCAGCTTTTCAAGCACAGAACTTTAAAGCCAGGAGTTCCAAAAACAGCAGATTTAATGGGCACTAGATGATCCACTAATACTGAGTCTACGGACTGCATACAGAGAGTATAGGTCTGCAGGGCCCAGAGAAGCGTCAAGATGTTCATAGATGATAACCAATCTACTGCTTTTAGGGAAGCTCAGAAAACAAAAATGCAAAGCAAAAGTTTTTGAAGCTTCTCAACAATTTTCTCTCAACTTGTATGTTTCTAAAAAATCATAAACCCTAAGTGTCTTAAGACACTAATGAGATTACAAAATAAAATAACAGCTTCAGGGTAACTTCTATTTTTATCCTGGCTCCTTGAAGATATTACTGGGACAGGCTTACATAGCCAGATGTAACAGACTTCTCCTCAATAGGAAAATGACATGAGATCTGTGTAATTGTCAGCCAATAATTTTAACATACATTAGAAGTATGGCCAATTCCCTTTAGCATTAAATAAATGAAGACGGAATGCTAAATAATAAATGTATTTGAGCATCTTTCTTGAGAAACTTCTAAAAGGAAAAGTAAAGACATAATTATACTCACAGCACCGGCCAAACCTCTTGTCACCTGTTTTGTATTGTGGAATGCACCCAGCAGCCGAGAGACCTACGTCAACACAACAGAGAAGTGTCATGCACAGAACTAAACACAAACACTGGAGAAGTCATTTTTGATAGGTTTCCTTGGAAGAACTCAAGTCTTTTTCTTTTTTTTTAACTTGGAGACTTTTCAGGAATAATTTTCTCAAATATTACTAGCTCAATGATGCTGAACTGAAAGGGCAGAACTACAGTTCTGTACTTCTTTCTTTGGGAGTTTATGTATGCGTGTGTAATATATTAGTGTATATATGCATGTGTGTACATGCGTGTGTGGTATATTAGTGTATATATGCACGTGTGTACATGTGTGTGTGGTATATTAGTGTACATATGCACGTGTGTACATGCGTGTGAAAGCCAGAGGCCACACCAGCTGTCCTCCTATCTTGGTTTTTGAGAAGGGTGAGCTCACTGAACTCACAGCTCACGAATTTAGGAAGAGCTGGCAGTGAGCTCCAGGAGATCCTCCTGTCTCAGCCTCCTTAACGCTGGAATTACAGTCATGTGCTGCCATCCAGCCTTTTTTGTTTTTAAATAAATTTATGTATTTTACATCCTGACCACAGTTTCCCCTCCCTCCTCTCCCCCAACTCCTCCACTCCTACTTCCCCTCCCAACCAGTTCCCCCTCCATTTCTGTTTAGGAAAGGGCAGGTCTCTGCTCAGTCTTTTTAATGTAGGTGCAGGAAATCTGAACTCAGGTCATCATGCTTGCAGGGTGGGCACTTTACAGACTGAGCCAAACCCCTCCCCTCCACACCCTCCCCTGCCCCCCACCCCTCTGCCAAGCTCAGCACTGAACTGTTTTTTTAAAGTCTGAATTTATAAGTGTAAACTGTCAAAAACTTTTGAAGACAAAATGGAACTACTCTTTTTTGCCTCAAATCTTAGTTTTCTCTAATGTTCTGGTTAGTTTTGTTAATCCTCTTGACCACCAGAGAAAGCCATATGCTCTAAGAAAATTATCACCAGGTTTAAAGCCAGCGGGGTCCTTAAGGAACCAGAGCACGGCTGCTATCCGAACTAATTCTGTAGATAGAAGGTCAAAGACCAGGATTTGCACCTGGGCGATGGTGGTGTACACCTTTAATCCCAGCATTTGGGAGGCAGAGGCAGGTGAATCCCTGTGAGTTCAAGGCCAAACCAAAAAAATAAATAAATAAATAAATAAATAAAGGCTGGGATTTGTCTAAGATCAGAGTAACCAATAAGCAAATTACTGAGTTCTTTTTTTAAAAATTGTTATTATAGAATTTTATGCATATGGGTGTTTTGCCTGCACACATGTACCTGGTGCCCACGGAGGTCTTCTGAAACTAGAGTTATAGACGGTTATAAGCCACCACATTGGAAATGGAACCCGGGTCCCCTGGAAGAGCAGCCAGTGCTCTTAACCACGGAGCCATCTCTCCAATAGCCAATCAGCAAATTAGAGACAATCTTGCTGGGCCTCTGGAACAGATCTGTGACGGTAGCTACGCAGTAAACTGAGGTAGGAGGTTCCAAGCCTGTCTGGGCTACAGGGAATCCTCAAGACTAACAAAGACAACTCAGCAAGACCCCATCTCAAAATTGCTCTTCGAGCAGATGAGGGAGGGGGACTTGATCGGGGGAGGGGGAGGGAAATGGGAAGCGGTTGCGGGGAGGAGGCAGAAATCCTTAATAAATAAATAAATAAATAAATAAAATTATAAAGGCAGCCTTCATCTCAGGCATTCAAGATACTTTTAAATAAAGTAAATAAAGCTAAAAAAAAAAACTAAGGAGGGCTGGGCACACAGTTCAGCAGACCACCTGCCTAGCATATACCAAACCCAGCACCACCAAAAGGGGAAAAAAACAACCAAGTCTTCTGTGTCTGTCATAGGCCAACTGAAAATATAACAGTTTATAGTAAACCTAAACTAGTTTACTTAGCACTATTTGATGCCAATGCTACACAGAATATTTTAATTGTTTAGTTCTTCTAGGAGTACAGGAAATAGTTATTACTGTTATTTGTTAATTTGGAGACTACAGAAAGATGTAAAAAAGGAAAATAAAAGTCACTCAACAAACCTACTACTCAGCCGGGCGGTGGTGGCGCACGCCTTTAATCCCAGCACTTGGGAGGCAGAGGCAGGTGGATGTCTGTGAGTTCAAGACCAGCTTGGTCTACAAGAGCTAGTTCCAGGACAGGCTCCAAAACCACAGAGAAACCCTGTCTCGAAAAACCAAAAAAAAAAAAAAAAAAAAAGGTATTTCAAACTGTAGTGTACACCTTTAAACCTAGCACTTGGGAAGCAGAAGTAGGTGGATTTCTCTGAGTCTGAAGGCTAGCCTGGTCTAAACAGTGAGTGCTAGGCTACAGTGAGACTCTGTCTCAAGAAAAACAGCTTTCAAATGTAATAACAGCTGACTCCCTCAGAAATTGTACAGTCTTACTGCAATAAAATCAAAGCAAATAACTGAATACAGACCAAAGACGTTCAAGTCTGCTAAAAAAATTTTTTTAATGTAACTTTTTCATGTTAGATACATGAGCAGAGAGACATTGTTACACCCTGTCTTATTTTTCCCTGGCCCTCAGGAGGATTGAAAGTTCAACGCCTGACAGTCTGTGCTAGGCTACAGAGTGAGTTTAAGGTCAGCATGGGTGGTTTACTGAGACCTGACTTTAAAACTAGAGGGAAAGAACAGTGCTGAGGGTGCAGCTCGGTGGGACAGTGCTTCCTGGCACCAGGCTCAGTCTCCAGCGCCACAGCAATAACCAATATCCCAAGACACGCAAGCTATTCTTATGCTTTGTCTGCTACTATATCTACAGTGCCTGGGACACCTCCTGCCTCGTGCTTGATGCTCAACAAACCCTTCTTCAACAACCCAGGCCACTCAGAAAAATGCTACGTGCAGCTGAGGGCTCCCATCCCAGCTTCCGTGTCTGTACTGACTTTCCTCTAACTGTCGATATTTCCCGTTTTTCCATTTCTCCTCTATGATCTTGAACTAAAATAAAATATTTCCTCTATAAAACCTAGCTTCCTGAACTTGATTTCAGGCCCCAGATCACCTGAACCCTGTGACTCTTCACTTCCTTTTACTTTCTTAGTCCACCTAAGAACAAGAGGTCTATGGAAAGGAGGGGCTGGAGCTGGCTCTCACAGTCTTTGGAGCCGGAAAAGCCTTTAAAACCCACTTTTTCTCAGTGGGGAAATCTTTGATCTACAAATGACTTTTTTTTTTTTTAAAGAAACAAATAAAACCTTAAATGGAAACTGGGTGTGGTAGCTCACACCTATAATCTTGCCAACAATCGGGAACTAGAAAAAGGACCAGGAGTTCAAGGTCAGCCTGAGCTACAGGCTTAGCTATACTTGAGACCAAAGCAAAACCCTTAAATGGAAAGCCAGAAATAGCCTTCCTGAAGGAAACCCCAAATGCCACTTAGCACTTCACCTGATGAGTTTGCCCCAGGAGCCTCTCCTGAGCCCTAATCCCTAGAGAGACTGACCCGAAGGCTGGGCCACCCTGCCAAAGGTCACATACGGAATCACGTCCCAGGGGACATCTTCCGACCCTACAGCCAATAATTTCTGAACTTTTGGGAATTTTCTTACAGAGCTAAAGGCAAAACCAACTTCCCAGCACACTCTTCCCCAGTGTAGTTTTCTCTATCCTTCCCCTGAAGGCTGACTATACCTACTAAGGGTGGATCAGGCAGGGAGCGTAAGCCCAGACAATAAAGGACAAACTTGTTACACCTTTAACAGTGAATGTGACTTGATGTGGGTCTGAAGAACGTGGCAAACTACTGAGTGAAAAAGCCTAGTTACTGAGGCCCAGGAACCGCTGTCTGCTTGGCAATTGCCAAAAGAGATATATTGATAACTAAGAAAGCTTCAGGCTTTCTTGTCCTGCATTGGCTAGGTGCTTGCTTTCAAGCACAAACAACTCTGACAGCCCATCTTACAGGTGGGCTCACAGACATTAAGTAATTTGCTCTGGGCACACAGGTTGGTTGATAGCATTATCAGGATTTAAAACTAAGACCCCTACATTGAATTAGCAGTACATGATAGTGCATCCCCAAACCTCTCTTTAAACTTAGAAAAGGGGGAGGGGGAAACACCAAATTTTATATTAAAAATCACATTGCTTAGAGCAGATTTCAGGGACCACTGGCTCTAGCATCAGATGACCTAAGGCCTGGTCAGTACTATATCCAAAACTGGCTAAGTGACCTTGGCCACTGGACAAACAGAAGGGCACTGAAAAATCAAAATACTTGGGTTCCTCTCCCAGATGACAATGACATCCTGTATGACCTTGAGTAAGACTGTCTTTGGGGACAGGTCAGCCCCACGGGGAAACCAAAAGATTGCATATGTAACCTCAAGTGCCTTCCAGCTTGTACCTGGGCCATCATATCGAAGAGAGCTAGAGCAGGGTTCCCAACAACAGGATGATGCTGCGGTCTTCCTCTCTGAGTGTTCAGAGTGTAATTCCAAGGAGCATGATTGATGCCCTGTGTCCTCTGAAGGGGAAATAGCTACCGAGGCATCAGGCTAGAAGAGTTCCGAGAGGGAGAAAAATCTGGCCGGCAGGACCGCCCCGGGATTCCCTCACCTGGGAAAACCTCTCACTCCCATAGTTTAGCGGCTCAAAGGCTCAGAGGGACTTGGGAGGGGCGACCTGGGCCGTGCCGCTGGCTGCCCCGAAACCGGCAGGTAACAGGGCCGCGGGGCCTGGGCGGCCGTTCCGTGACCTTCCGGGGCTCCGCGCGAGGCCTGGGCTCCAGTACCGGAGGAGCCTTGTAGGGACACCCGGAGCAGAGCCGGCCGCCTTGACCTTGAGGCCGTCCCCGCCGAGGGCGCGGCTGTCCCGGCTCAGGGCTAGCCAAGCTCGGCGTGCTGGCCACACTCCCCGAAACTCTCCCCGCGGGACGTGCGCCGCCTCCACCGGCCCCCGTGCGCTCGCCTCCGCCAGGCATGAGGAGAAATCACAGTCTGCCCTCCCGGGCAGCCCGCGAGCCTGATGCCCTGTGGCGCTCACCTTGGACACCCACGCGGACCCAGCCATCGCGTCCACTTCCCTCACGGCGGCGACAGCGGCAACACCAGGGCGCATGCGCGTAGCCGGCGCTCCTCAAGCCCGCCCCGCCCGGCCCCGCCCCGAGGCCCCGCGTGGCCCCGCCCCTAGCTCGGATTTTCGCGTCGTTCGCCTACGGACCCGACCCTTCTCTGCACAGCTGCCGCTAGTTGGCCAATCACTGTCTTAATCTTTCGATGACGTGCTGCTGAGCAGGCCCAGCTGCGACCCGGAAGCCACCCCCCCCCCCACCCCCGCCTGCTTCATTCATTGAGTAGCTGTGTGGATGAGGTGTTTGTTTGCCACCTATTAGGGATCTAATGAGCCTTCTATATTTGGAGGGTAATGGGCCCCCTTTGCAATCCCACGGCAACAGGTATTTTACTTATTCCCCAAAAGTTGGTTTGGTTTGGTTTGTTTCTTAGAGACAGTCCTATAGATAAACTCTATGTAGCTGAAGCTGGGTTTGAATTCCTGATCCTCTTTTTTTGCCTCTACCTCCCAAGTGCAGGGACTATAGGCATGCACCACCACGCTAACTTGATTTTTGTTTTTTTACTAGCTTTACTGAAATATAGTTTAAATATAAAAGATACTCTGTGTTGCTCAGAGGTTAAGAGCATTGTTGTTCTTACAAAGGACACAGGTTCGGTTTCCAGCACCCACATGATGGCTTACAACCATCTGTCACTCCAGGTTTAGGGGATCCAGCACCTTCTTCTGGCCTCCCTGGGTACCAGGTACCAATGTAGTGTACACACCTAAATGCAGACCAAACAACTCATATGTATAAAATAGATCTTTAAAAGTAGTCGATGTAAATGTACAGTTTTAAGTTTTTAGTAAATGTAAACTTGCATAGTATCAGTTCAGAAAACACAGCTCTTGGGCTGGGGAGATGGCCCAGTAGGTTAGGTGCCTGTTTCAAAAGCATAAGGAGGGCTGGAGAGATGGCTCAGCGGTTAAGAGCATTGCTTGCTCTTCCAAAGGTCTTGAGTTCAATTCCCAGAAACCACATGGTGGCTCACAACCATCTGTAATGAGGTCTGGTGCCCTCTTCTGGCCAACAGGCATACATGCAGACAGAATATTATATACATAATAAATAAATATTTTTTTTAAAAAAGCATAAGGACCTAAATTTAATATGAGGGCAAGCATCTATAACCTGAGCAATGGAAAATCTGAGCTGCTTGGATACCTACCTCCATGTGCCAACTAGTCCCTGGTTCAGTGAGAGACACCGTCTCAAAAACTAAGGTAAGAATACCTGCCATGGGGAGGGGAGCAGAGAAAAATGTAGAGCTCAATAAATATCAATTAAAAAACGAATACCTGCTGTGAAACACACACACACACACACACACACACTACAGCTATTATCTTAAAGAGAATAAGAGGGTTTATTCTAGCCAAATATAAGTAACTAAAGCCAGGAAAACAGACCTAGGTTAGCCCAAATTCCTGTTCCAACATGATTAAAAACAGTGTGTCAGTTAAAATGAATATTAATGTTAATGTTAGAATGCTGAGGACAGGAACATTGAGGAAGGTAAATAGGAGCTTGCAAGCTGGGCATGGTGGTGCATGCCCTTAATCACAACACTCAGGAGGCAGAGGCAGTTGGATCTGAGTTTGAAGGCCAGTCTGGCCTACAAAATGAGTTTCAGGACAAGCTGGGCTACACAGAGAAACCCTGGCTGGAAACACAGAAGGCAGCCAGGTATAAGACAGCCAAGCTCACTGGACAAAGAAGAGCTGGTCTCAGTTTTAGCAGGGTCTGACTGGCACCCACAAAGAATTCCCTGGGGCAAAAGACTAAATTGAATAAGAACAGCTTCTGCAGAAAAGAGAGCTGGCTCAGCAGTTAAAACTTAAGAGCAACTTTTGCTCTTCCAGAAGAATGAAATTTGGTTCTCTGCACTCAGCGAAGAAGGCTCGTAATCTCCTGGCATTCCAGTTCCAGGGAGCTACACGCTCTTCTGGCTTCCCTGGGCACCAACATACATGTAGCATGTGCTCACAGAGACACGAGCACATAAATAAAACATTTTTTTTTTTAAAGAAAAGCTTGTATGAGAGCATCACCTACTCCAGGAAGGAGACACGGCCCCACTCCCAGGCTCAGCTAAAGAGCAGGTGGTAAAGAGAAGGAAAATTGCAGGTACCTCTTGGTAACCATGCCTGCTGACAACAGAACGCTCTTCTGGGAGGGAGACATCCTTGGGTCAGCAGTTCAGTGGGGGCACCAGGACATTTACCTACACATGTACATACACGGTCAAAGGGCTTGCATCCTCAAGAAATGTGACATCGTTAGAATATCATTTACATTATGGGGTTGATACATCTTCCCTTTAGTTGACATCATGTGAAGAAAGACGCAAAAAGGAAGAAGACCCTGCTCGTGATTTAAGATGGAGAAATTGTCATCTTACCTAATAATATGTTACTTACCTCATAAATATTCATAGAAGTTTCTTTAAAATTCACAGTGCATAACTCATTTGGGGCTCCTTGGGCAAGGGAAGTGCATTTCAATCTCTCTCTGTTTTATCTGCTGAGCTGCTCCCCCCAGCTTCCACGCCCTACGGAATATCCTACTTGCGTTTACTGACCAAACTGCTGCTTTATTAAGGAAACTTCTAATCAATCTGTCTACATCTCTTGACTGAATCCTTTTCTAAGACGACAAGAATCAAGAGACATCCCCACACATACACATCCACCACAGCAACAGTTTTGTGAAATCTTTATAGTAGCTGAACAAGAAAACTCAGCAGACTCTTTTCAAAAGCATTGGACCATCAGGCTGGCAGGTTTCAGCAAGGCTGGGAAATCCCTGCCAGAGACCTCAGATGTTATCTGATGACTTTCTTAGCTTTTGGGTTAGGGACAGCTGGGAGGAAGTGCAGCTAAGAGGATTTACTTAATAGTCCCGAGGAAGTTGGGTCACACACAGGGATGGACAACAAATGCCTATGGAGGAGATAAGATAGCTAAGATAATTAGCCTCTGGACTTGCAACATTCCAGCTCTCTACAGGTTAGCCTTGTAGAATATTTAACAGCCACGTGGCTTTTTTTTTTTTTTTTCTTCTGGGAACTTAAGTTTCCAGACACGACTACAATCCAGTTTCTAACATACAGATTTCTTTCTCAGGTCCCATTTTCAGTTAGTTCCTGCTCCTGATCTCTGTCCTTGGCAACTGTGATCAAACTGATTGATTAATTGAGTGATTGATTGATTGGTTGATTTTTGTGGAAGGTGGTGGGGCAGAACACCACAGAGTACCACAGCCCACGTGTGGAGGTCAGAGGACATCTGGTTGGGTCAGTTCTCTCCACTCTGTGGGTTCCGGGGCAGATTATTAAGCTTGGTAAAGAGGACTTTCACCCACTGAGCCATCCACCCTGCCCTTGATCTATCTTTTTATCTTACATATCCCCAAACTTTTGTTTTTTAGTACTGGAAAATCTGGGCCCTCATACATGCTAGGCAAGAATGCTACCAATAAGTGCTTTTATTCCCAGCACTTGGGAGGCAGAGGCAAATCTCTGTGAGTTTGAGGCCAGCCTGGTCTATAGAGGGAGTTCTAGGACAGCCAGGGCTACACAGAGAAACCCTGTCTCAAAAACCAAAACAGAAACAAAACTAGAACAGCAACAAAATAGAGTGCTACCAATGAGCTGTATCACCAGCCCTCTTCATTTTTACTTTTTTTTTTATTTAAACAAAGTCTCACTGAGTTACCCATACTGCCCTAAACCTCACTCTATAGTACCAGCAGGCCTTGTACTTTCTATCCTCCCGCCTCAACCTTCAGAGAAGCTAGAATTATAGGCCTGAGTACTAGACCTAACAAACACTGTTAACGTCACTTACACAGCAGGCTCCTACCTTCGAGGTGGGTACATCTTTCTTTCCCTCGTCAAATCACTATAATGATTGACAGGATCTGGAATGACCTAGGCAACACACCTCTGGGTGTGCCTGTGAGGGATTCTCTAGAGCAGGTTAACTGACGTGCAAGGCCTGTCCTAACTGCTAGACTCAAAGGAGAAAGAGAGCTGAGCACCACTGTGGGGTCCACTTGCTTCCTGACCAAGGACACAGTGTAACCAGCTGCCTCCATGCCTTCTCAGCCCCTATGATATAAACCTTCTTTTCTTACTTTGCTTTGGTCAGAGCTGTTTATTATAGCACAGACGCTATAACCAATAAATAAACCTTTGTTAAAAATCAACCTACGTGAATCAAACAAACAAAAACAACAACAAAAAACAACCAATGTAAAAAAACAACCTATGTAAAACAACAACAAAAACCCAACCTAAAACCAACCTGTGTAAACTTGAATAAATAGATAAACCTGTGTAAACTAGAATAAATTTTATGCCCACCAAGAAAACCCTGGAAAGGTAGGTGACTCTGAGAAACCAGATCTCTCTCTTGTGTGTGGACTTCTGATAGAGGGATTCCGGTTAGAAGGCAGTGTCCTGCAGATAATTTATTTTTCTTTGAATGCGAAGTCCAGTTTGATGGTTATTGACTCGTGCCCGTATAGTATATAGTTTAAAGAGTTTAAGCCCCTGAGGGTAGTTTATTTGCTGATGCTTTTTGTTGTTGTTATTGTTGTTTTTGTTTGTTTGGTTTTCAAGACAGGGTTTCTCAGTAGCTATGGAGCCAGTCTTGGAACTAGCTCTGTAGACCAGACTGGCTTTGAACTCACCAGAGATCCGCCTGCCTCTGCCTCCCCAGTGCTGGGATTAGAGGCCTGGGCCACCACTGTCCAGCTGACTGATTCATTTTAACATTCTTTATTGACTATTTCTAAGTCTCCTCTTTGGCCCTTTCCTACTTCCTGGCTAGTCCTGGTTTCAAAAGACCTTGGCAAACCCAAACCTTAATACTCAGCCCAGAGAGGCTTCTTTGAGAAAATAAGATCCATACTCCTCTTCCCAACACAGGGCTCCTAGCTAAGAGCCAGGGGAGGTAGGTTAATTCAGACCAGCTTTCCCCAGAGTCCATTCTAGAAAGAGTTCATACAGAAGGGTGATAAA